ACAAAATGCGTAGGTGACTCAGGCGCCTGTATCAAGATGTTAAAAGATGGCTTCCACGCTCTGGTTGCCGAAGTGTTTCTATCCTAAACGCGCCAAACGATTGAGGCTGCATAACGTTGAACCAGACCCTGACACCTTTTCCATATTTTGCTTTATTCACCATGACCAACCGATGGGACGGATAAAGCTTTAGTCTTTTTTACCCGTGTTAACCCATTGTTCCATTGACCATCCTGTTGACTAGTTGCGTAAGTACAAGACTAGCATCAACATTTAAACAAATGGCGAACGTCAAATTCGCCTTATTTCTTGTGATGTAGCGGGATGTTTGGCCAAAGTCACCCCACTAATCCTCGCCGCAACCAAGCTAGGAAGCTAGGTTATTTTGTTAGCAAACTGCTGTTTGTAGCTTAGAAAATCAAACTATATGCCACCGTTACAAGGAATCCATCTGCAGCTAAAAAGGGAGCCTCGAATCCAGTTTGAGTGGCCACACCTGTGGCTACGTCCACTCTTCTGCCTACGCTGAAACCTCAGAATAAAGCTGACAAAAATGATGGTTGCATCATAGTTGTTATCAGAAACACCCGGCGGAAGATATTAGTTTTGCCTAATATTAGTAACAGTAGTAATGATGGGATAAAAAGCATAGGTTTACAAGACCCACAGGATGGAAAATTCACACGAAGATTAAAATCAAAATTGTTCTAATGTGGAACCGGAATCATCAGTAGTAACGATGTTGCAACTGTATCACACTGTTGTGTATCGTTCAGCACTAAGATGAAATCTAGTAGTCTCTCTAATGTTGCGATGTCTGGTGCGTTCATACCATGCGTTGGTAGTGCATTCCAGTGTGAACAGATTCTAAGAGAGGAAAAATACCTCCTACAATCTAAACGAGAGGGTTGCGTTACCAGTCTCAGTTGATGGCCTAGACATTGTTTGTACGGGGTAGGGTCAGCGGCTACGCACATGGGTGCTCGCTTTCCGTCAGTATCCGGTATGTGAGGACAAGATTCCTGCGAAGCCGTCGGTATTCTGAGAAGACCCCAAGCAAACGAAGGCGCAGTTCATAACTGGGACCGGATAGTCCACGTGCTACTTTCGTAGCCCTTCTATGGGTTTCTCCAAGAGACGAATATCTTCTTGTAACCATGAGCGAAGGCCTGATCCGCTTAGTCAATATGGAGACGAAGATATGTGTTGATCAACAATGGTACTAGCCGTCGCTCAAAGGTGCCGAGAGTTCGCCTGAAAAACCTTACGTTCAAGTTCGTCACATTCGCTGCTTTCGAGCACTGCAGCGAATTGCAAAGACTTTCTTGGATGATGATAGTTAAGTCTTGTTCATTAATCACCTGTTACAAAACCTGCAGTCCTAGAATATATGCGTTGCTGAAGTTGCTACGCACCGTCGGCAGGTAGCAATTTGCAGGGTTCAGTGGAAGCTGGTTCCTTGCGGTCCGTTTGCAAATCAGGTCCAGATCGTTCTAGAGATAAGCACGGTTGGATGACGAGCGAATTGCTCACCAACTTTTAGCATCATCTGCATATATCTCAATTATAGATAGTATGTTTTCTGGGAGGTCATTTATGAAAAGTAAAAACAGTATCGAGCCAAGGAAGGATCCTTGCGATACACCATTGGATACGCACAGGATTTCGGAGTGTGCGTTGGCCATTCTTACTTTGATGGTTCTGTCTTGTAGGTACTCTTCCAACCAGACGAGCAGGGAACCGTTGAAACCGTAGGCAGAAAGCTTTTGCAGGGGAACGAATGCCTTAGAAAAAGCTAAGTAAATCATATCTATGGGGGCTCCTTCATCAGCTGCTCTGGTCCAAGAATACTGGTAAAGGAGTAGGTTGGTGAGGCAAAATAGTCTGCGTCTGAAACCGTGTTGGACATTGGAAATTATTTAGACTTTCAAATATCGCGTCAATTCATCTGTGCTTACCAATTCCATCAATTTTGATAAAACAGATAGGTGAGAAATTGGTCGTTAGTTGGCAGGATCCGACTTCTTACCTTCTTCGTAGATTGGCGTGATAATTCAATTTTTCCACTCAGATGGAAGTGTATGGGAGTCAAACAGACCCTGGAAATGGGTTACAAGATGTACTGTTATGGTGGGGTAAGAGTTTTAATTACCTTCCAGCAGACATTGTCGATTCCCGACGCACTGTTTTCTCGGAGAGAATGTCTTTTGTTCACGACACCACCTGGAGTAAAGATGACACTGGATAAGCCGACTGCATTTGTTGGGAGTTGATAGAGAAAATGTTCCATGGTATTTGTAGACACTGGGCCAAACTGCAGAAGTAGAGTGTTCGCCGTATCCACAGCAGCAGTCATTAAGCCACTGGCCGTCTTTACTGGCGGTATTCCAGGTTTAACCTTCTATTTTATCCTTCACATAGCGGTATAACGGTTTGCTATTACTCGCAAACTTGGTTACCATGTTCTCTTGCCATTTGTACTTGTCTGCTCTACTAACTGACGTGCAGTAGTTGCTGATTGTTCTGTAATGTTGCCATGAGATATCACATGATTTTAGCTAATGTTTCTTACACATCTCAACTCTTCTGTCGATCCAGTCACGTGTTCTGCTTTGGAGCCAACTGTTGGTCCGGCCTGATACTCGTAATGGTACGACATTTGAGGTTGCTTGCATGACCCAGTTAACTTCGCCTTTCAATTCATTCCTTGCGTCGTTTATCGAATTGTGAGCCTGTAGACCCCAGTCAACGATTGTCGCTAAGTTATGAAACATGGAATAGTCAGTAATATATTGTTGGGTTTTTCGTTATCAACCATACTGGCATAACACACATAACCAAATATTAGGACAGAATGGTCGCTACTGCCTAGAGGAGGGTCAGGTGCGACTGACTTAGCCATCAACACTTCTTTTCTCAGGACTAGGTCCAGTAATGATGGCTTGTTTGAACCGCGGTGTCTGGTTGGTCAGTGCACATGGTTATACCAAATTGCCACATCTATGGATTCAAAGAGATTTTATTTAAATGTTGGCCCATTAGGGCACACTGAGACTATGAAGATACGTTGAAATCGCCCACCATAAGGTAATGAGAGTACTTTTATGAAACTGCATAGTGGAGTGCGTTTAACAGAATGTCATCACTGTCTGTGGGGGAGGTCGGTGACCTGTACACAACTGCTAAGAGGCGGGTATCCCGCGTCTTCTTCTGTGATGCACCATCTCGACCTGCTAGCTGCAGTCAGCAAAATAATGCGTCAGTAATAACAAGGGAATGTTCGATAATGGCCCTTTGAAACCTGTAGCTAAACCAAGCAGTGTTGGATTTGAACGAGTGACAGTTCGTTCGAAAGCCTTTGAAATGGTCTATCGAGAGAGACCAAACAATGTCTCCGATGCTTGGAGTGAGGCAACTTTTGTCGCTTGGATATCGGCGAAACACTGTTCGGAATTTAGAATTCAGGGTAAATGTAGTCTGTACTCCAGTTTACTCGAGAAAATAGTACCACAATGTGGAGCTTTTAAACGCACGACGAATGAGTATAGATCTAAAGGTGTGCAACAAAATACCGCTGAGCCACAGTGAAAAAATCACATGTGCACAACTGAGCGATTTGCACGCATGTTCGCTCAAGGTCACCAACCGTGGATCAACAGCGTAAGCGAAAAATAGCAAGATTTTAGCAAGTAGTTCCAGGGAGTGCGCTTTAATGAATGAGGAGCCACCCTCATCCCAACTCGCAACCTGGAGGTCCGAGAGACCGAGCTTATTTCGCCTATAACCGCTAATCAATCCGGTGTGGGTGGCTCTGAAGGTTCAAGGCGCACCACCCAGCAGAGTTCAATGGATCATTGAAACACACAGACCATCGAATCAGGGTTCAGTCGCACTGTGATCACGCGGAAAATTCAACAGTGTTAATCGATTTACCTTACTCGGCGAGAGGGATGAGAAGCAGGAGCATGGTGAGCGCAGCCAGTACAAGGGAGGTTGTACAAACGCGTGCGTAATACGGTGCTGCCTATAGCGATAACGATAGTTGAACATTACAGACGATGACAGTCCATGTTGTTCCTTTCATGTAGTCGCGTTACAATGGTGACTGGGTTTCTACCATCGTGTTTGATGTTGCTTTTATTGGCATAGTTACTTCTCTCAGTAAGTGTTTTGCAACTTATTTCAAAACTTCGAAACCTGCTGGCTTAGTCTACTCCTGTATGAAGAGCTTTTATTTTTTTCCAGTTTTGTAGCTAACAGGCTAATCTATTTTGCCATCCGTCCTTGTTCTTCCGTTACTACATCTACCGCTCAAGTTGTGTTTTAGTTCACCGCATTGTTTACTGTTTTTAATTTTCTGCTCTGTGATAGAGTAGTCTTCCAATAAGTATCTCGTTCCTTTTCCCTTCACTCCATTTCATCGCCACCGGCACATGTTACCTGACCGAGGTTGCACTTTGTGGTTACGCTATTATAAATGCAGAAGTTAAGTTCACCAACATTTAGTGCTTTTGCATCACGTGTTTCCACGTGATGCAGCTTGATCGATCGGTGCGATGCTTTCCCCTCCGAGGCAGTTTAATCAATTGGAAGCTGTGCATTACTGAACAAGCGTCGTTCACCCAGTGAACACATGCATGTCCAACAGGAATTAGGTAAACTGACCAAACGGCACCGAAGGGCCATTGCGTTGGATAGATTAATAGGCTCAAGCTGAATTGCGTATCGGTGCTAAAACGTTTACACTATCGTTCTAGCTTTATATGCATAGAAGTATATTAGAGAACTAGATTGAGGTGGTCATACTGTTAAGGTAATCTTGACGAAATCCGGCATGGGGTTTACAACTTCAACTCATTAGTCTTTCTGGCAGTTTCGCCGCCTCAGGAAACAAAAATGCGAGTAGTTTTCCCTATGTTGCACAGAATTTTTTGATTTTGTTGTGATATACTTAATCTCTCCCACCTTTTAACTAGCTCGAAAGCTCGATTGTCAGCGGGCTGTCCTCCGGTCCGAATGAAGAACACACTGGCTCGGTCACGAATGCTACAGCGATTGCGAGTCGGTCACCAGATTGTCCAAGTAGTCCGCAATATTGGATGAACCTGAAGCCAAATGCAACAACTGATGCGTCTTCTTCAAAGCTAGTCGAAACTCTCCAAACATCCAATATCAAAGCGCAGCCATCTCACACGATTCCAGGAAACGTATTCTCTGAGATTGAGCAGGATTCTCATCCTTCAGCTTATATACCAAAACAAAGCGGAAGGCATTATGACACAGGTGACGATGGCTACAAAAAGGATGAAAATCAACACTTAAAATATGAAGATTTAGACAGAGGTAAATCCGTAGAAAAATGTTACTGACTAAGACTGAAGTCACTCGTATTTGTTATTAAATGTACAAGAAACGTTTGTGCCGTAGTGGATGTAAAAAGGCAACTGTGCATATGATTACGTCAATGGAACGGGTTTTCTAACGATTTAGGGAACAGTCGAATGATTTATGAACCTGGTGTCTGTCTGCCTGTAACTAACTGCGACGAATCTACACAAAACCAAATAAATCCCCCTACTAGTTACAGATTTATGAACCTGCTTAATGCAACTGACCCACCAATGCCTCCGGATTTGGTGTCAGTTTATTTCTCTGTAAGCCCTAAGGGCGATGATGAGAAAACCTTTTGACTGTGGCACCAGTAGTGAGAATGTACGGCTCAACGGTATTCATACACTAATTGAAGAGAATCCTACTGGTCCACGTAAAACAACGTAGATGTTGGGGGTTTTCTCTGTTGCCCCCAACATTGTACTTTGTCTGATTTCAGCACTTTTTGGACTATGTAGGTTGACATGGCCGGAGCCCGGAGTTGAACCCGGGAAGTGATGGTTAACGGTTGATGTCTTCTTGATCAGTGAAGTTTGGCGCAACATTACATCATCATAATTAACGTTCGACACACCAGCTAGCTGGGAGTAACATCACAGCGTATGGGTCCCAAAATAACAGAACGAATAAAAAAACAAAGAATAATATCATGCTGCTAGGCTCAGCATAAATATTATGCCTTGTTTTTATTATGTGCTAGGAACGAGCTCATGTTTATAACAGCAGGCTAAGCCAGTGGAGTGAGACATAGTGATGCACAACATTGATGCCAATGCCATCGGTTGTGTACCGAGTCAACAGGTTTTTCCAACCAAACGTGCAAATCGCATTTTGGACTCCAACGTGGAAGCTGAGAGGAACGAACTGACAGCAAATTCGAAGTGGGTGCCTTCATTAAGCTGGACAAGAAGTCAGTACATCCGGCTAGGCGACAGTACCCGGATTTGCTAGATAATTCGTATAGGTAACGTGACGTGTTGGTACAGTTCAAATTGATACCAAGTTTCCTATTATCTGTGTCTTTACACTGTTTGAACAATAGCGTGGGTAAAGCATGTATGTGACACCGAACAACCGTTCTATAAAATGACCCCACAGGATGACCTATCCGCCCTTGACTCCTGGTGCCAACTGTGGCAGATGTCATTTGCCGTGGACAAGTGTAATATTTTGTCGTACAAATGCCAAGTACCGTCAGACAGTTTATTACTACAAGGTGCCTATATCTCGCAATGCAGGACAATTCGCGACTTGGGCGTGCGATATTCAGTCACGTTTAACTTTTCTGAACACTGTGACTTCCAAGTTTCGAAAGCCATGAAGACCATTGGTTATATCTGCCATCATTTTTACCTCACGGAATCTCGCATATCCCTTTACAAAACATATGTATTGCCGTGTATGGAATACTGTTCAATGATACAGTCTAATCTACGGAAGTCTGACCAGCACGCTCTTGAGAGGGTTCAGAGACGCTTCACGAAAAAGCTATGCGGATATTCCTCAAAGTTGACATACAAGGAGCGATGCGATACACTTGGATTTGACCCAGTTTGGCTTCGGATAATGAAGCTGAACCTATGTTTTCTGTACAGAATCATAAATTGTCAAATTCGCAGTCCTGAAAGCGGTGTTCACATATCTGTAAACAACAGATACCCAATACGTAACAAAGAGGTAAAGGTCATGATTCCAAAATTTTCTACGAGAATCAGAGAACGTTTCTTTCTAACCCAATACTCAAAGATTTGGAACAAACTTCCAAGTGATATCAGAACATGCTATACTCTTTGCAATTTTAAGCTTGCTATTAGTAAGCATTTAACCATCCAAAACGTGATTAAGATGTTCGGGACATCACAGTCCCTAGATAACGCATTCGAAAACGGTATCCATGGTGTCTGAATAAATTTCTGAAACGCATACACATAACAGTTCGGACAACAGCCCCTTTCATTACATTTTTTTTCTCTTGGCCCAAATATCTATCATGTGATTGTAAAGAATCCTGATTCAGAGGCAGGTAAAAATAGCAGAACGATTCTGATTACTCTGTGTAACATAATTTGCAATTGCATCCATGTTTATCTCTGAAAATGTACTGATGAAATGTCATGGAAAAGTTGCACCATTATTTGATCTGTTCCTTATAGAGAACAGCTTCTCGCATAGTCGAGGAATATACAATTTATTTATTTATTTATTTGAAAAATTGAAGTAAGTCATTACAAAAGAAAACAGTCATTCCGTGCAACATAATGTGTTTCCATTTATCTAAAAACACTGTCCGTATTCTCAAGTGGTTAGTTCAGTAAATGCACAGCTATATAAAAATCCCAAAATAAAAAGCCTTCAGTCTATACATGTCTCCTTAAAAGCAATGTTTTCCAGCTTGCCGAACAACCTCCTCGTGGTGCCAGCTGGGTGGTTCGGGTTCCTCCCGTTCCAGCGAATGGTTCGGCGGCAGTGTTCCAGGACGTGGTGGGTTTTCGCCTGGCAAGCGTTCTCCCTATAAAAAGCCACAAATGTCTGTTTAACAACACTGCGACGTGGCGGATATGACTCGCCACTAAATAAAGTCACTGGCCCTTGCCCCTCCCTGAGAGGCATTCTACTTTAAGGGTGCGTTGGGCCCCTGGTCCTTCACGGACCGAAAGGCGTATGAACCATCTATTTGGTCACCGGCTTCCAACGGGTTGCGACGCCCTCACATCGCCCTGCTGCCTTGTAGGTTAGATCTTTGATCAACGGCTCGGGGTAGGGCCCCCTAAGACAACCCTCTACTTCGGCCTGGGCAACCGGGTAGCATCACGCCCACTGACGAATCATGGACCACGCCGATTACTACTGCTACTGCTATGCCTATCTTCTGTGCTAACTCAACCGCTCAACATCCACTCACAGATCACCCCACCTCCCGTCCTTCACCCACATGTACTCTTATGTCTTCTACGGTCACCGTCACAAACGACCCACGTCTCGCAGCTGATGGAAGTAACAGCCAAACTCCCGGTTTTCAATGTCCTGCGATCGCAACCGCCTCTCACTCCACCGAAGCTCCAGCCCTTCTTCGACCTGGTTCTCCATTCATCCTCTCAGCGCTTAATGTTCGAACTTGGATGCAGATCGGACGACAAGCATGTCTGGCCCGTACCCTTGCAACGCTTTCGGTAGACATCTGTTGTCTTTCAGAGACCAGACTACAAGACTCTAGCGCCGTCATCAGAATGGCCTCTCCGGTAAACTCTGACACCAAATACTACTTGCGGCTTTCCGGAGACCCAGAAGCTGCCGCCACTGGTCAAGCTGGTGTTGGGGTTGTATTAAGTGCCAGGGCTGAATCAGCTCTGCTTGACTGGATCCCAGTCAACAGTTGGCTATGTGCAGTCAGACTAAGAGGTTCATGTAACGTAAGCAGGCGTCGAGATGTTAAGCGTGCCTTGTTTGTCGTCTCCGCCTACGCCCCTACAGACTGCAGCCCGGATGCAGTTAAAGATAGCTTTTATCAACAACTACATAAACTTCTGTGTTCCTCCAAACGGACTGATATAGTCATTCTTGCCGGGGACTTTAATGCACGAGTTGGCCGCCTTCCACCAAGCGAGCACCACATTGGGGGTAGTTTTGGTCTCGGTGGCAGTCGATCAGACAATGGAGACAGACTGCTTGCACTTTGTTCTGATCATCGCTTGTTTCTTTCGAGCACTATTTTTCGGCACTCGAGGAGATACACTGCTACTTGGCGCCCGCCCTCACAAACGCAAGAGTGCTCCCAGCTTGACCACATAGCAATCAGCTACAGATGGCGCGGAAGCGTAACGGACTGCCGATCGTACTGGTCAATTTACCTAGACTCCGATCACGCATTGGTTCGTGCTAAAGTTTGCATGCGTTTCGGAGGATCACCTAAGCGCGCCCACTACCGATTGGACGTAGGGAATCTACACAACGCTGCGATTTTAACCAGGTACCAAGCCTCACTGTCAACCTTGCTTGCCTCAACTATTGACGGTGATCTCGATTCGCAGTGGGCGCATATCAAAGATGTTTTAGTTTCCGCCAGTATCGACACTTGTGGAGTTACCCGTCACCCACCGAATCATTGGATTTCCGCCGACTCCTTGTCGCTGATGGACAGACGCCGCCTGCTCCCATCGGATTCCAGACACAGTGAAGAACGCCAGTACCTTGGTCTAGAGATGTGCAGGAGTCTGCAAATGGACCGCGAAGGTTAGTGGTGTGAAGCTGCTAGGGAGATGGAGCTTGCTAGTCCCCTTGGTAATATCAGGAAACTCTTCCATCTCATTCGAGTCACCGAAGGTGTTCGATCTGGTATAAATGAAACAATATGCGAAGAGGATGGCACCTTAATCACCAATCTTCAACGACGGTTGGAGCGATGTGCCGAACATTTTGGCTCGCAGTTTTGTTGGCCCCCAGCTCCATTTGCTACCTCTGGCGCTCGCGCTGGGGCCGAGTGGTCTACCCCAACAGCCCCTCCCTCTTCCCATGAAATCGAGCGGGAGCTCCGGCACATGAAGCGTTATAAAGCCCCCGGCCCTGATGGTAGCGCATCGCTGGTTCGAGAACTCACCGCCTTGTTCTCGAAAATTTGGTCAAAAGGGTAAGTTCCGTCATCTTGGGGTGAATCGATATTCGTCCCAATCTTCAAAAAGGGCCTGCGCACAGTCTGCTTCAACTACAGAGGAATAAGCTTAGTCCCCGTCGTTTGCAAGCTGCTGGTGTCCATCATACTTCGCAAGCTATCCCCAACACGCCAATCGTTGCAACGAGAAGAACGAGCTGGGTTTCGCCCTGGTCACGGCTACATCGATCAAATCTTCACACTTCGCCAGATCCTCGAGCTCCGCCATGTGTATCAGAGGCCAACGATTGCTGTGTTCTTGGTTATCCGTGCAGCCTTCGATTCTATCGATCGTACGGTACTGGAG